CAAATCCGGGATCGATAGACCGTGCAAATTTAGTAGAGTATTCAACAAAGCAAAATAAAGAGAATAAGTGTTATTGCAACTTGCCGCTAATTATTTCCACCTAAAACTACTTGTCGACTGGTCTACGTCCTAATAAAATAAGTTTGAAATATGTATTAGTCTTTGTAGTCTTGGTTGGTTGGTTCTCTAAACAGCCTCTTATCCGTCTATTAGAGGACATGAAACTTTAAAAAAATAAACATATTTTTTAAGATATTTTAAAAACCGATATTCTGATTTGAATGAGATTTGGGGTGGGTATGTTTTGCTAAGGACTTTAACATTTGACTTTCACTAAAAACAAGAAAAGGTACAAAAAGTGTGAAAACTACTCCCTAAAATTGTTCTTTCTAGTATTTACTACATTTTTTGTCCCTTGTAAAAAAGGGTATTTCACATAGTTTTTGAGAAAAACAAATTGGGAATTTTTTTTTGCCAAAGCATTCCTACAAAATATACGGAAATCCCAATACTGTAGACACTAGTGTGGGTCAAAAAAATCGACTATTTTTTTTACTTTATACTCTGAAAAAAAGATTGTAGGCCAGAGTAAGCGAGGATAAAAATAGGGTATTACCTCCGAATTCTTGACACCCGCACCGATTGACATGAAATTTTAACAGTGAATAGAGATATATGTAAAAAACAAAAGAAACATAGTAGCGATGTGTGCTTTCACCCTGGGGGTGAGTGCCACCCCTTCTCGTCGGTGAAAAACAAATCACCCATTTTAACTGCAAAAATCAATAAAGGGATGAATAATGTTCATGTAAGTAAATAATGTTCTATAACATTTTTTCGGAAAATTAATATTTTCCGAGTTATTTAGGATTGAAAATGTTGATTTTTCATCTAAAAACAGCATATTTTTCGGTCATTTCTTATAAATAACTAGAAAACATAGCGTTTTATCGCAAAACTCATATAAAGCAAAAATGAAGCTTTTGGAATAACGAATCCACTTATTTTTTTTTAATTACCGTAAGTGTAATAATAGCCGAGATATCACTCTGTAAACATGATTTTTTATTTTTCGAAAACTAAATTGCAACCTTTTACCGTAAAATAATATATATATTAGGGGTTTTCGGAAACTGTGATCTGATTGATAGGATTACTAATCCAGACGTTCGAAAAGTGATCTGAAAACGAGTCAATGCGTTCGGAAAGTGATCCGAATAACTCGATTTTTGCCATACGTTGTGATTCTACTAACCCTCCTAACGAGGTGGGTGGAATTAATCAGCTGATCCAGATAGGTAATTTTTAGGGGTTTTCGGAATTAAAATCCTAGATTAGGTAGTTTACTAATCAGCTGTTCCAAGATCAGTGCTGAGAGTAATCAGCTGGTAGTTTAATTACGAACGGTTGGATCATTAGATTAACCGGGTTAACAATCACATTTAAATATATTTCATAAAAAGAGATAAAAGAAGCAAATAATGTTAATATCCCTCTTTAACGATTGTTTAGGATCTATTTTTATCCTATTTGTTTTGCTTTAAGTATACTTTTTAGTTTCTGTAAGACTATTTTTTATAAAAACAAAATGTGTTTTATTTTAGCCTTTTTTAAAATTATGCCATTTAAAACCACTAAACAATAACACCATAAATTTTATTTTAATCATTTATTTACTGTCGACATAATAAACACTCCAACATATTAATAATAAAAAAATATATATCAATTTTTATCTACCATTGTGATGAAAAATTTCAGAAATTTTCTATCAAGTTCCATTCTTTCATTATGCCTGGTTATTTTAATTTAAATGTTTTAAACCACTTAAGTTTTGTAGTTTAAGTTTTCATTTTTTTCCTATTGGATGTATCCGATAGTGCTTTTCCGCAGTCAGTATGTCCAGACTTACTTGTTGGTTTTTTATTTATTTAAAATCTAGAGTTACTTGATGTTATGCTGATTGGCTAACGGTCACTAACAAAATATCATGTATTTGATCAACATTAGAAAAAGTGATTTCGGATAAAACGGTTATTAAAAAACTTTATACTTCTATGCGGACCGTTACTTTTAAAATTAATCTAGAAATGATCAGCTGATTAATTCTACCCACCTCATCAGGCGCGTGGCAAACGCACCCGCGGACCCCGCGTGGCGGGGGGGCCCCGTGTAGTATGGGGGTCCCCGCACACCTCATTCTTCAAAAACAATTATCAAACAAACCGAAAACTGAAATAACATTTAGGCACATAATCCTTTTTTCAGCAATAATTAGGCAGATATAAAACAATTATTTTACAGCACATTATTCACTATAGGTTTAATAATAATAATTATTGTACGGGTTAATTTGGAATTTGGTTTAATTGTGAATATGTTTAGGCGATACACACAGCGATTATCATGTTTTCACGGCGTTTTTGATTAAAAGTATCATATCGGTAGACTTTTTCCATAAGCACACTTATTTTAAATGACTCTGTGAGCAAAGCGAAATTAAGCGTTATTAGCGAAATAAGAATTTTTTTTGACACGGTTCAGAGTCTTTATATATTTTTCAGTGAAAGTCTACCCCGTTGGCCAAGCCTAAACTGCGAAATAAAAAATAGTAAAACTGTTGGTTTAACTTTAAAAAAATTATGTCCAACTCCTGTCCAACTAGATGGTCGTCAAGAGCCGAAGGCATACTATCGATAAAAACTAATTTTTTGTCCGTCGCGCGTCGTCAAGTGTCTATGAAATTTAACGTTAATACTGAAAAAATGTACTGATAGAGAGATAAAATAGAAAATTTCGAATTTATTGTAAAATACTAAGTTGCTTTCAAAATGCTTATGAAAAATGATATTGACATAGGACTGGCCACAGATCTAATATTAGGAGTTCTTGTTAAACTAGAAAATCTTAGGGACAATTTTGAAAGTGTGTATGAGCTATCAATTTCAATTGCGAAATCTTGGAATATTGAACCTCAGTTAAAAAACAAAAGAGTTCCTAGAGTCAAAACTTTTTTTGATGAAATAGCAGCGGATAAGCCCATTGAAAATCCTAAAAATCGTTTAAAAGTCACAGTTTTTTATGCTTGTTTGGATATAATAACTCAGTTTAGAATCAGGTATGACGCATTTCAAAATATTTATTCAAAATTTGAAATTTTAAACCCACAAACATTGTTAAAATCCCAGGAATCTGATATCTTAGCTAATGCCAAAGTATTAGTAAGCAAATATCCTAACGACCTAACACAAAATCTAGCATCGGAGCTAATTCAAGCAAAAAATTTACTTTATGAAAAAATCAAAAATATTCACAGTATTAGAGAGTTTTCTCATTTTATTTTTGAAAAAAAAAAACAATTACTGATTAGCAGTATAGCTGAGATTTGCACTGTATTCCAGTTGTTTCTGGTTCTCCCTATACCATCCGCTGAACCAGAAAGAACTTTTTCTAAGTTGAAAATAATCAAAAGTTTTGCGAGGTCTACTATGTCCCAAAATCGCCTAAGCTCACTAGCCATAATATCAGTTGAGAATGATCGAGCAAAAGAGGTAGATTTGGACAGCCTCGTAAACGTTTGTCAAAGTCTTGCCAAATTATAGGTTATAATTTTGTGACAACTTTTGTCAAATATTCTGCGTTTTGGAAGATGATGCATTTTGATTCGTGTTTTTACGAGTGTTTTGGTTTGGTTATTCCGTGTGTTTTGTGTCTTTTGAAGTCAAGTGGAGGAAAAATCGAGTGAAAATTAACTGTAGAACCCAGAGCACAGGTTATGGGTAATAGTCGCTGCCCAGGCAGAAAGTCTTATACAGATACACCAATAAAGTTACTATCAATAAAGTTCGTATACCATCTCGTCGTAGATAAGTGCATCTCGAATATGGTAGAAGGACCATACTAAACACATACTAAAAACTGGAGTAGCTGTAAAATATCGACATCACACGATAGGTAAATAATGGATTTTAGTACTGCAGAAAAATAATGTCAAAAGGTACTGGTTTAAAAAAATTAAGATTAAAGTTAATTAATCAACCTGTGAGGTATAAAATTTGGTAAGTGTTATTATTAATAAAATAGGTTGTTTTATTTATGTTGTTTTATTTATTCCTGCGGAATATTACAAATTTGTATTTGTACATAAGTTATATTGATAAATATAATCATAAATGCGGGAAGTTTTATAAAGCTTGAAAGTAAGAAATACTTGTTCTTTTTTATATTTTTTTGGTATGTGGTGTCTTGTTTTTGTTTGTTTTGTATTAACACATACCGTTTTTTATTAAATAAAATAACTCGATTACATTTTTTCAGTTTTATACAGTTTTATTCACAATATTTTGAAGTTACTTGTCAGTCAAATTTTAAAAACATATATTAATTTCCTGCTATGCGTTCCAGTTGTACCAACTTATTTCTTTGTAAAATAAAATAAACTATTTTGAAATTAAAATGACAGACACATCTATCACTCTCAAGGATCTTCTCGTTGGATAGACTATAGTTCTATGTAAATGAAATATTGGGATATTGTGTACACTTTTTCCTTTTTAGTCTTTTATTTATTAAAATATTTAGTAAATTGTGACTTATTTTTATTGCAAAAATACGTAGTAGAGTTCTATGTCAACGAAATATTGGGATATTCTGTACACTTTTTCCTTTTTAGTCTTTTATTTATTAAAATATTTATTAAATTGTGACTTATATTTATTGCAAAAATACGTAGTAGTTCTATGTCAACGAAATATTGGGATATTCTGTACACTTTCTCCTTTTTGGTCTTTTATTTATTAAAATATCTAGTAAATTGTGACTTATTTTTATTGCAAAAATATGTAGTAGTTCTATGTCAACGAAATATTGGGATATTCTGTACACTTTTCCCTTTTTAGTCTTTTATTTATTAAAATATTTAGAATTTGATTAATTTCAGTTCTCGTTTATACGAAAATATTAATATAAAAGACAAAACAACACTGAAAAAATATACTTACATCTCATTATCATCAGATTCTACCTTGGTTTGAACATATATTTCATGTTTATTATCGTCTGTGTTGGTAAGTTCATCAGTCTGAATCCCACTGTAATTTTGATAAAGATTGCGTTGATTAATAAATTTTAATAATTTTCTGTAGTCTTGTTGTAGTTCATCCAGTAAAAAAATATACTGGGTGTTTTTCAAAAGTGGCTCATCTCTATTATAACTTTTTTATTTTTTCAGTTAAAAAAAATTATGTAGGTATTCAATTACTTTAGGTCGCTCAAATTTTACAGTAGGACAAAGTAATAATTGTATTTTTTGTTGTGTATCTATTTTTGTTTCTTATATACACAAATAATTTCTTCAAAAATGCCCTATATGGGTATTTGGCCACTTGCAAGAAAATCTACAAAATAAAATAGTTATTTTTTGTAAACACTGCTGCCTTAATCCAAAAGAGACCAACTTGTGAGCAGTGCAGTGGCAGATTAAGACATATTTGCCTCCTAGGCTAAAAAAATTTGGCGCCCATCCTTTTTTTTTAATTTTTACCCCCTTCCAAACCCCCTCCCATACCCCCTTACCAAACCCCCACCCCCACCAAAAACTAATGGTCAGATTCTCGGGTGCAACAGTATTTTTGTGCCAAATTTGGTTAAAATCGGTTTAGCGGTTTTTGAGTTATCGTGTTATAGACAGGACAGACAGACAGACAGCCACCATGAAAATATTTTGTATTTAGGTCATTTATGACCCAAATAACTCATTTTGAGTGAAATTAAAAAAACTTTTTTTTTGTCGATCTTAATAACCTACCATACCTATTGGTATGGTCGGCTAAAAACTATTTAAAATATCTAAATACAACTATTAAAGAACACTTTAGTTTTTTTTTCAACAGATACTTCTATAAAAACCAATTATTAAAAAATAATTTTTTCATCAAATTTGTTTATTAGTAAATCACTGCTGACAAATTGGTCTCCGTTGCATTAACGCAGCAAAAAATAACTATTTTATTTTGTAGAATTTCTTGCAGCACAAGTGGCGAATACTCATAGGACTTTTTTGAAGAGATGAATCGGCCACAGAGGTATAGACATTTTTTACACATATAATGGGCTCTTTCACAAAAAATAAAATACCCAATTCAAGGACAAAATCTGAAATGGAAGACTATTTTCAGTATATTTATCCAAAAAAATTAGTTCCATGACATTGAATAACTTTTTTATAGGCCCTCAAAATTGCTTTAATTTGAAATAATTTTAAAGTGCCAATTGATGACGTATGAAAAATACGCCCAATTACATAATAATAATAATAATATGTCTTTATTTTAATAATCCTCGGCGAATTTCAGTAAATAACTGCTTAGTTAACCGAGTACCATTACAGTATAACCTAACAAATAATATCAATATCTACTACCTTATCTTAAATTAATATATCAAATGTATAAATATAATAACAAAAAAAAAACAATGAAAAATACAAAAAAATATAAAGCATTAACAAAACTATTAGTGTAACACATAGAGCACACATAGAGAACAATTAATACTTATAAGTACATTATGCAATAACATAAGGCAACAGGCATGTATTGGTGTTGATGAAAAGAGAGCCAAGGAGAGGCATAGTTGGCTGGCTTCAAAAAGTATACTCAACTCACATTATGGAATAATAAATCTCTGAACCCCGATCTAAATGAACCGAGGAACTTAGCTATTAAAGCACTTGGCAGGGAATTATATAACGAGACCGCAGAATACGTAAATGATCGTCGATATAAAGAGGTCTTATATTGAGGTAGATATAACTGGTTAATATTTCGAGTGTCTCTGCTATGAACAGTTTGGCGCAGTTTTAATTTAGATTTTAAATATAATGGTGTCTGTAATTTAATTAGTTTGTGTACAAAGGTAGCCAAATGCAGTCTACGGCGTTCATACATATTAAGCCACTTCAATTCTTTAAGCCAAGGTGAGATATGCTCCCCTCTATCCAGAGAACAAATAAAACGTACACATGAATTTTGAATCTTCTGTATTCTGGAAGAGGAGTGCACGTCAAGACAAGGTCCATAGACAATGTCAGCATTGCAGAACCGTGCTCGTGCGCCAGCCAACAATTGGCAACATTGCGATTTGATTTGACCAGCACCACCTCAACTCAAGGCCAATCAACATGATATGGGCAAGGCAAATATGGCGGCGAAGGCAGCGCATTATTAAATTGTTTACTTTTAACCTGAAAAGCCGGTAGTGGTTTCTCGTTCCAATTGCATACCAGAAATAATTAATTATCTCTAGTTTGTTGTGCTTCTGCAACACGTTTGTTTAGTTCTTAGTGTTCAGTGCATGGCGTGATCAGAAAATTGTGATAAAATAAGAGTGTAATAAAAATCCAAACCAGACATTCCACATAGGGAAATTCAAACTTTCGTGCTTGTCGTACTCCTCTATTATTAATTATTTTAAGGTAAGAACTAGAAGTATTTATCAAGATATTACACCTAAATGAGTAAAAAGCCTTGGCCGCCAGTCTGCATATTACTTTATAATGGTTACTTACAATAATCAAAAGATAGGTATTAAAGGGTAGGTATTAACATTTTATTGTAGCATGCCTTTTACATGCTCTGTTCCAAATTGTTACGGGAATTATAGAGGGGGTCCCAAGGTTTCTGCTTTTATATTCCCCAAAAATGACGAGCTTCGTAAAAAAATGGTTGACAGCTATTAAAAGATATAATTTCACTCCTACTAGTAGTTCTCGGGTAAGAAGTGCCTTAAATATGCCTCAAAAAGGCCAAAGGCCCCAAAGCCTCTGTTACCCTAGTGAGGATGTAGTGGGGATGGCTACTGCTTACACTTACCTCACTATAAGTAAAATATTGGAAAAAGAATCAAACTTTTTACATCAAAAAGATCACAGAAAGATATTGACAACATTGACATTTGAAAATATAAATGGCCTGGATGTAAGTCTTTTTTTAGGTCACAATTGCCCCTCACATACGTCAGAATTTATTATTAAATCCATCTTGTTCAGAATATCCAATATTTTATTGAAGAACTATGCAAAAAAAAGGAATGACGTCTTTACCACAAAGACAATGCCCTATGTAAAGAGAAAGAGTAAAGAAAACTAAGCTAAGCGTAAGTTTTACTTACGAACCCCCAAGAAGGTATTTAGTTTTTTTTCTATATAAAATCTTGAAACACATATTATATTTTTTATTTATCCTCACCTATTATAGTCTAAATTTATTCCCATTTGTGGAATGCTGCAAAACATAGAGAAAATATTCCATATTTTTTGACCCAAGCCAGTGTAGTTTATATATATATTCCAAGAGCATTTACCAAGGTTTTTACTAAGATAAGTAACTTCCTATACTATCCATAATAATATATATTTATCAAACGTTTAGTAAATTCTAAACTATGGTAGGTAAGTGTTTGCAATTGAATATTTAGTTTATATTGCTATTTTCTGTCATATATTTCTGGTTATTTCTTTTGCCGATGATTTTGAACACCCTATATATGCTACCTCAAGTTTGAATATTTTAACACTACCTATTTTCTTAGAAAGCAGCCCTATTTTTAAAAAGTAACTAACTGATGTTTTCATAAAAGTAATAATACAAAAAATTCCATACTTATGTAGAGAACTTTAGACTCCCTGTATATTAAAAAATTAGTGAAATATTACGTAATCTAACCAGACATTTGTGTGAAAAATGTTTAATTTGGAAATAAAACAGGTTTTAAAATACGCGTCAAATAAAGCACTTCTATCTCCGCCATATTGGAAAAGGTTGAACTGCCTTGTGTGGAGGTGGTGGTGTGACGTATTAAAGGGTGTGACGTATTAAAAATAAGTGCGTATTTTTATTCTGGCCTTTTTTGTTTTTATTTATTTTCTTAAGAACGACTTCAAATTTTTCGAAAGTGAGATAACAGAAAATTCTAGAATTAATTGCTTTATTCAATTAATATTATGCTAATTCCAAAATATAGTGAAAGAGCCCATTGCTTGTACGTATTCATTTTACGTTCCTTAAATACCTTTATCTAAAAAATGATCTTTATTTCTAACTAAATTATAACTACATAATAATCTATAATTTAAGATAATGTTACTTTTTTACTTATTGTTTCATGTTTGTATAAAAGCCCTAAAGGAGGAGAAATGCCTCTAACCGAAATGTCTAATAAACATATTAAATCATGTTTAAACAAACACTTTTGTTCTTTATGAGGCATTGCAAAGCATGCAACATACAGTTACTTTAGTAATTAATAAAAATACAAATATTTAGAAAAATATACTTAACAATTCTAGCTTGTTATCTGACCATACTCCATTTATATTTTCTTCCGAAACATAATTTTCTTGTTTAACATGTTCCACAGTTTGATTCATTATTAAAGCAGCATCTGTCGGGTTGTTTCTACAATCAAATATAAATTTAATACATATTTTATTTATTTTATATTAAAATTTCAAATGCCACATGCCACTATCATTATTTAGTAAATAACCATAAAGAGATAGTAAGAAATAAGAGATATTAGTAAGTATATTATATAGAATACCTTAAATCGGTATATCCCTTGAATCTTTTAAACGATAAACTCTAGTTGAATCTGCAGGATACAGATCTTCCACTTGTAACAAGAAGTTATCTTGGACAGGATCAAAATAGAGCAAATATCAGTATATCACTGAATAGCACAGATTTAGACACGTATTGTTAGAATTTATATTTTATATATAACGTAAAATAGGAATTATTATTTATAACTTTCAATAATCAAACTCTTCGGACCTATACAAACAACTCAAATCTAAAATATAAATAATTATGTATAACTGTCATTATCATATGTTTGGGTGTTTGACAGCCTTCATAGCTGCAGAATCAGCTGTCAGAAGTTAGGTTATGTATTGTTTATTTTTGAAATTGTGAATATTTGAGTTGGAATATTTTACAATAGAAGAGTTTTTTAAAAAATATGTATTATAAATACAAATCTGTGCCGCCCGTAGAAACATAGAGAAGTGAGCCATTTAGAGCATAGTTACAAATAAATTAGAAAATATATTGTGCTGTAAACTAATTATGGCAGGTGAAACAGAGAAAATGTAAGTTATATTTAATTACTAATTCGATTAAAAAACATTAAACGTACTGTTTTAACCAGAGCAGTACTGTTTTAGGTGCTATTATCGTGGTTGATTTTCAGTTTTTAAAAAATCAGTAAACATCCTGATTTTGATTGCATCTTGAAAAGTCGAAGTGGACTGTGCAAAAATATTTAAAACATAATTATATAAACATCATTTCGTCATGCTAAACATTTACAATTTAATTTTAAATAGATTTATATATTTAACAATACAATATTTATGTTCTGTTTAATACCTTTTTCAAAGAATAAGTTTTAAAAAATACGTTATTTTAATTATGTATTTTGTGTTAAACTTTTAGTCACCTTATATTAAGATAATTTTAGAAAACATTTGAAACTCATGTATAATATGTTTGTGTAAAGAGTATGCGGAGGAGCAGATTTTCATTATTAATTATATCTATATTGTTATAGACAAAGTGATGCTTTACACGAGGAAAATTTGTACGAAGGTCCAGTTAGAAGTGTTACAAAGGGATTTGTCAATTTATTAGAACCTCCTTTAAAAGAAGTTCGACGCCAGCTTAATGAATTACAGTAAGATGCTGTCTAATTATACAGGGTTGTTCACCACATACGACACGGAGTATTGTAGCTAAACAATTAGATTTTTACAAATTGTAAGTTTTGGGTTCGTTGAAGGACTATTAGAGCTACAATTTAAAAATATTTTTACAAGATACAGAGTGTCCCAAATAAATAAAAAATATCAAAGTTGTTTTTTTTTAAACGGAACACCCTGTATATTATTACATTTTTAGTTTCTACGATTAAAATAAAGGTAAATTTGATTAAGGTTTATTACACTTAAACCTTGCCGTTTTTTAAATATTTTCAATTTTGTGAAATTGCAGTCAAAATTTTAAGGCTTCATTTAATTTATTTTTTTTATTCCAAGGGTATCAAAGTTTTTAATATTAAATATTTACTGAAGTATGATCAGTTATTGTGTTGTCAAAATTTTAAGGCTTCATTTCTCCAAGGGTATCAAAGTTTTTAATACTAAATATTTACTGTAGTTTATTTATTGATCAGTTATTATGTTGCAATAATAAACATTATACTACCTTATACAGAGTGCCTAAAATTTTATTTTAAATAATTACTAGCTGTAAACGGAAATAACTTGTTTAATTTAAACGGAACACCCTGTATATTTTATGAGAATCAGATGCACAATTTAATTGTCTATTAAATTATATTATACCATTTTTTACCTATCTCTTCAAGTTTCCGTAGAAAATGCATTTTCTTGTAATTTAAAACTCATTTATCAATATACCTATGGAATAGACATTTTAGATTATTTTTAAGATGTACCAAATTTTTAAAGAGCACATATACTAATATTGTCGATATAGTTTGTTTATTTCATTAAAAAATAAAAAAAAACTGTTTAAATATTTGTTACAGAGGACCAATTAATATGATTCCAGTATTCAAACTACATTAATTGACTGTTTGCGTTGGTTAATAATAATTGCTCCAAATACTAAAAAAACTGAATTTTGTATGTGTATTAGACAGTGTGGTAAAAAGTAACACCTTAAAAATGATATTTCATTTTTTGACAAATGCTTATTTATAACAACATAACAACAGAGACATTCATTTTCATAACTTATTATTATATTGATTTCTGATTCAAATCCACATTTATTTAGAATAATATATAACGAACACAATTAAGTATGTAATTAATTAGTATTTGGGCGGAAATAATGGTGGCATATTTAATTAATGGTATACTCTTTTATAAAGATTTAAATAGTTTTCTTTTTGCATACAAATGGGCTACTTAGTAATATTATCATTTTGCTAAAAAGTATAATATTACTAGCCTGTACATTTTGTAAATTTGTTGCTTTAAAAATAATCTAAAATGTCAATATTCCATGGGTATATTGATAAATGAGGTCTAAATTACAAGAAAATGCATTTTCTACGAAAACTTGAAGGGATAGGTAAAAAGTGTTATAATACAATTTGATAGACAATTAAATTGTGCATCTGATTTTCCTAAAATATAGAGGGTGTTCCATTTAAATTAAACAAGTTGTTGCCGTTTAAAGCTTGATTTTCATGCATCCGTTGTGCGACGATACGTTGATACGATATTAATTTTATTGGTTGAATTTAAAGACTTCGATTGGTTAGAAACGGTTAACCAATCGAAGCCTTTAAATACAACAGTTAACCAATCGAAGTCTTTAAATATAACCAATGAAATTAATATCGTATCAACGTATCGTCGGACAACGGATGCATGAAAATCAAGCTTAAAGCTAGAAATAATTTAAAATAAATTATTAGACACTCTGTATGAGGTAGTATTATTTTTATTACTGCAACACAATAACTGATCAATAAATATACTTCAGTAAATATTTAATATTAAAAACTTTGATACCCTTGGAATAAAAAAAAAATTAAATGAAGCTTTAAAATTTTGACTGCAATTTCACAAAATTGAAAATATTTAAAAAACGGCAAGGTTTAAGTGTAATAAACCTTAATCAAATTTACCTTTATTTTAATCGTAGAAACTAAAAATGTATTAATATACAGGGTGTTTCATTTAAAAAAATACAACTTTGATATTTTTTTGGGACACTCTGTATCTTGTAAATATTTTTAAATTGTAGCTCTAATAGTCCTTCAACGAACCCAAAACTTACAATTTGCTAAAATCTAATCATTTAGCTACAATACTCCGTGTCGCATGTGGTGAACAACCCTGTATAATATAAAAATAATTATTGAGCTTTTAAAATAATTAAATATTCTATATATTTTTTGGTCTCTCTGGTGCGCGTTTGGGTGATTTTTTTAGTTGAAACCACTTATAAAAAGATCTATTATATAGAAGCCTTCCCAAACACAAAATCATAAAAAATTATCAGCGGAAACGCATATTTTTTCTGACTATCGAAAAAAAAACGGTGTTAAAAATGGCTGTAGAATGACAATGGGTGATAATTTTGGCAAGCTCAAACCTTAGACATCATTTACTTGGCATGTACCAGGTGGCCAACTGAGAATGTGGACGCCGGCTGTATCTCAGAGACTACTTATCGTATAACTTTGGGAGAAAAAAATTCTAATAAGTAAATCAACCAAGAAAAATCGCTGGAAATTATTTTCAAGTTCGAAAAATGTCCGCTAGGGGGCGTTTCTCTGATAGCCAATCAGAAAACAGGGTTTGTCTCAAAAATATGTAGCCGAACAGGTATTTTAAATATTACTATTGTCATCATCGAGAAATTTGTATTTTTTTTTTGATAATATAGAGCATTTTGCTCTATCTCATAAAATAAAGTGGTGGGGGAAGGTTAAACTTGCTTTTATTAAAATAAGGATAGCTCTGGTTTGGATTAGCCGATTTAAACAAACTAGGGCTCATTTAAGTTGGTTTAAGTTCTTCCTGATCTCCAGTATAAATTTTGTTTCCATAATTTTTTTCGTGGTAGCTAGAGGGCGCTGTTGACAGATATTGCGCTTTTGCATAAAAAAATAAATAGGAGGCTATATTTCTCTTTGCTCAGTTAATTAGAGCACAAAATTTCCAAAATATTAGCGCAAACCGCAACTTTCTATCTTCTGTCTAACCGGAGATATTAAGAGAATAAATTATGTTAGGCTGCCGCTTAGTATTATATGGTCTAAAAATTATAGTAGTAGTGTTATCTGTGGTAGTAGGCTAGGAAACAAAAAGAGGTAAATTGGTTACATCAAAATATCAAAACGTTGACAGTACGTCTGTCTGTTCTGTAGTTACGGGGTATCCGTGAGAGGGGAAAATATATTCTCTCGATGTTTTTCGTAAAAAAATAGACGACGCGTCCCATCAATAAAAATTCGACAAATTTGCAAGTAGCCAATAAAATGAGTGGGCGGAGCGATTTGCGGTGACGTACTCGTCAAGTCGACGAATAGAATATATTGTTGTTTATTTAAATGTTTTTTGTCTGCATTCCTTTCATAGACACAGATCCAGCCGACGTACTGTAAGTTCAGTTTTCATGCATCCCAATTTCAGGCGTTTTCTTAAAAAAATGAAATCATAAATTTTTAAACGTGTTTATGTAACATTATCGTCCATCCATATAATTTTTAGGAATTTCTTGGTTAATTATACCAGATATATCAGATTAAAATGTCCGAAAGTCGGACAATCAACAATTTTATTAAAATTTCTAGCAATTTTGTGCCGCCATATTGCTTTTAACAGAAAACGACCGAATTTCGTATGGCTGAAAACTAGGGGTTTATTTCATGTAACGTCATTTAGTTATTAATCCAGTTATAAGTTCGTCCTTGATTTTACTTGTTTTCGTGTTTTACATATTGTTTGTGTTATTTATTATTATATTATAAAGTTTATGTCGTTTGGGTCACAATATGCACTACTGGTCCAAATCTACCCTTGATGCAAATAGTTGAGCACCAAGACCGTTGGTCGGTAAATGTTTATGCAGGGATTCTAGGATGACGAATGATTGCACTTTTTTAATTATCTGAATGAAATGAACAATGATCTATCCATAATTTCTAAGAGATGCATTGCCAATTTTGTTAGGGATCCATCATGATGAAATTGCATTTGTTACAATTTCATCAGCATGAATGCAGTTGGTGCAGTTGTGCCGCTTATTTTGCTATGAATGTGTGGGGCTTCTTGGATACCACTTACTTTAGTAGATAGAGATACTTGAGCGGTATATTTCCATGGCCAGCTAGGTCATCGGATTCAATATGCCTGAGTTTTAATTTATGGGGTCGAATCAAGAACGAACATGGATAAATACAATTAAATGGTATTAAAATGCAATTAAAATCTATGTTTTAAGATTTTGACGTAACCAATTTACCTCTTTTTGTTTCATAGCCTACTACTATAATTATTAGACCCTATAATCCTAGGCGACAGCCTAATATGATTTATTTTCCTAATATCTCCCGTTAGAGAGCAGATAGAAAGTTGCGGTTTGGGCTAATATTTTGGAAATTTTATGCTCTATTTAACTTTCTATTTAATTTTTTTATGCAAAAGCGCTATATCTGTTATGACGTCAAACAGCGCCCTCTTTTTTTCCTCTACCAGGAAAAAAAGTATGGAAACAAAATTTATACCGGAGATCATTAAGGAAGAAAAGCTCTTTTAAACGAGCCCTAGTTTGTTTAAATCGGCTAACCTAAACCAGAGTTATCCTTATTTTAATAAAAGCAAGTTTAACCTTCCCCCACCATTTTATTTTATGAGATAGAGCAAAATACTCTATATCAAAAAAATACAAATTTCTCGATGATTACAATAGTAATATTTAAAATACCTGTTCACCTGCATATTTTTGAGAAAAACCCTGTTTTCTGATTGGCTATCAGAGAAACACGCTCCCTAGTGGACATTTTTCGAACTTGAAAATACTTTCCAGCGATTTCTCTTGGTCGATTTATTTATTATCTTTTAATGGCGTTTACTGCCAGTTGGCCTTGTGTAGTTAAATTAAATTCGGGAAAAAATATATTTTTGAAAATAGATTTGGGTCTGGAAACGTACTATTTTATCCTTTTTTAATCTTTCTTATGAGTGTTAATTTTTGACAAGTTTTATGGCAGTTTTTAGTAAATAACGTCTAGAGATTGACCTCGTCAAAATTATTATTGATTGTCATTCCTCAGCCGTCTTTGACGCCGTTTTTTTTTCGACCGTAAATAATTATTGTATTTATTTGTTATCATATTGTATTAAATGTAATTTTTCTGTAGAGAGACACAAGCAAAACTTTATGAGAAGATCCACGAGGAAAACTTAATATTATCGAACATACAACATTCCATGGAACTACAGGGTATGCTAAACAAGATGAAAATATACAACAGTAAACTAAAGTCAATAAAAAAGAATATACGAGGTATTCATGAAAGAAGTACTAAATTGAAGGTAAAGATAAATATTTTTGTATTTAATACATAGGTACTTGAAACTATTATTTTTTTAGAAACGCGCAATTAGGTTACAACAATTGAAGCAAAATGAGGTTGGTGAGATAATAGTAAATCCACCAGAGAATAAATAATGATATTTTAGTGTATTGTAAATTAATGTAAAAATAAATAAATATATTTTTTATGTTTTATTTGTTGAAGAATTGTATTATGTATAACCTTTTTTATATTCTATAAAAATAAGGTTTTAAAATAATATCGTAATTGTATAATATGATCGAAAAAAAATGTCGTCAGCATTGGCTATGAAATGAAGATTTCCGTCATTTTATATGTAAAATTATATGGGAAATGTCATCGATTTTCATTTTCAGTCCAAATGTATGCCGTTTTTTTCCATCATATGTTATATATACAATATATACCGGGTGCGTCTCAAAATTGACTTACCTCTATAACTTTTTTTTATATAAAAAACGAGATTTGGTATGTTAGTATATAACATAAATTAGGATTAATTGACGTATTCAATCGTTTTTGGTCACTTCCTGTTTCACCGGAAATGAACACAATTTTTGATTTTCAAATGGTACCCTGGGTATATGCTTATTTATGTATTTCTACTTCGTTTGATATAAAATGACACTCTGAATAGAATGACATATTTATAAGTCAACTTTGGATATTTTCGCATATAGGTTTTTTGAAATTGCAACATGCGGTTCATAACGACAATTTGATTCGAAATACCAAGTGTGTGGTACAAAATTATTCGTAAAAAAATGCTTTTTCCAAATATGCTAATGAATCACGCTTCACGCTTGTTCTTTTTGAAAAAATTGAGATACGATTAAAAACACGATTTGGGCATCTTTTAACTCGCCAGGATAAGACACAAAAACATTAGACAATCAAATCTATTTTCCAAGGCGCCTGTTTACGAATTAGTGTTTTTTACACAGCCATGGCACTCTAGATTGGAATCTTAATTGAAAAATACGATTTTTTTAGCGAATATGCCAAAAGTAGATATATGATATGTCATTCTACTCAGAGTGTCATTTTCTTTCGATTAAAGTAGAAACATACCGAAGGTGCCATTTAAGTTTCATATTTTTTAATTCTGTGCACGTGCTGTAAAAGAACGACAAAATGTTAGATTTTGTCGCCAGATTGAACAACCTGAATAGGGGTTTTCCCTAGGGATCATCCCAAATGCAATGAACCATTTTGCAGCCTTACAAGTGTATAGATTTTTTTTTATTTCCAGTAAATAAAAGATTGTTGATAAAGCAGAGATATCTGATAAGAGTAATATGATTTTAAATGTGTCGATTTCTTCTAAAAATGGAATTTTTGTTTTATTATACTCGTATGTTCGGGAATGGCAATTAAAAAAGAACTTGGTTCACATATTTATCAATAAATGTAATATTTATGCGGTTACAATGAATTGCGATTAATTCCAAATTAATAAGACCACTACTTGAATTTTACAGATATTCATTTGGTTGTAGTTTTGTTGAAATTTAATAAAAATATGTACCGTATGATTGAAAAAAAAACCGGCGTCAACAGTGGCTATGCAATGAAGATCGCTGTCATTTTAAATGTAAAATGATATGGGGAATGTCATCGACGTTCATTTCCAAACCAACTGGACGCCGTTTTTTTTCGATCATACGGTATTATTTGTTTGAGCCCTTAAATAAAAAGATTAAAAGGACGCAGTATAATAAAACTATCCATGTATTCATGCTTGGTGGACGGAATCGACATCATAGATCTCCATCCTTGACAGTTCTGTTTGACGTTTCAACTGAAACATTTGAATTTGATTTGAAGTTTTGTGGATTTGTTTGTCTTTACTAAGCTTATTTTATGTTATTTATTATTTATTCGACAATTGGTTTTGTTGCGAGTTAGTAAATCTAGAAGGAAATTGTGTCAGAACTTAAATTAACAGTGACACTATTGTGATTTATCGAAAACGATTTAAAATAGTTGGTTGTGCAGCGTGCGGTAAATCTTGGTCAATAATCGCGGGAAATAATGGAATAACTTTTTACTGGTAAGTGATTAAATGTACATACGTGTAGTAAACCAATCTATACTAATATATAAAATCCTTAAATGACTGACATACTGATTAATCACGATCCTGCTCAAACCACTCAACGTAAGAAGCTCAATTTTGGCATACAGGTTGATTCTAGGGTGTAGAGGTTCGATAAGAAGGGATTTTTCGAAATTCCAGTTCCACGAGGGTGAAACCACCCCTCAAATATTACAATATTTTTTATTTAAAAAACGGCCAAGTTTCCGAAAAAACGCTTAAACACGTATATTTTATTTTGTTGTTTTACATATTTTTACATAGAGTTTTTATAAGTTTATATAGGGTGTTTCATAAAATATGACCATTGAGTAATCACGATTCTGCTTAAACTGCTTGACGTTTAAAGCTGATTTTTGGCAAACGACTTGACTGTGGGGTATAGAGGTTCGATAAGGAGGAGTTTCTCGAATCTCAAATTCCAAGAGGGTGAAAACGCCCCTCAAATATTACAATATTTGTTATTTAAAAAACGGTTAGTCTTTCGGGAAAACGCTTGAACAAGCATAATTTATTTGGTTTTTTTATATATTTTGAAGTTTTTTAAAAATTCATACAAGGTGTTTCAAAAAGTTGGGTAATTTCTTCCAGATTCTGCTTAAACCGCTTGACGTAAAAAGCTTATTTTTGGCAAACTGATTTTTCGAAAGTCAAATTCCAACGAGATGGAACTACCCCTCAAATATTACCAAGTTACCATAGTTATATATATAATAATATCGCCATATTGTTTTTTCTCATGCTGACATAGTAAATGTGAGAAAATTTTATCCAGTTTGTATGTTAATGGAAATTCTTGCTTTGCTTTATCATCACCATTACAAATGATTAATTCGACGCGAACGAAGTCGCTGGTACACGCTAGTCATTTATGAAATATTCCTACTAATTATATATTTTTTCTTACATTTTCTCTCTTATTTACTACTTGTCAAAAATAATTAAGATACGTCATTTTGACTTAAGCTTGATTTTCATGCATCCGTTGTCCGACGATACGATATTCATTTTATTGGTTGAATTTAAAGACTTCGATTGGTTAGAAACGGTTATCCAATCGAAGCCTTTAAATTCAACCAATAAAATTAATATCGTATCATCGTATCGTCGGACAACGGATGCATGAAAATCAAGCTTTAGGCTTCAGTACCTGGTTAATGTGACATGTCTTTTGGGAAAATTATGTCTTCCCTTCAGGGGACATACTTAAAAGTACTTATAAAATATATTGACAATGGTAATACCGACCTTTTTGTTCGAAATTGTAGTTTACGGAAATAGATAAATTTTCTGTTTACTTTATATATCCTTTATTGACAAAATGGTGAAGGTATCTATGGATCTAAGACTTTCTTCAGGTAGAGGTAGAAAATAAGAAAAATATTTAAAAATAATCTGTAAAGGATGAAAGAATCAGAAGCTATTTCTATAGTAACCAAAAATATTAACTATAAAGTAAAATATCTAAAGTTTCCAAATATTTATTATGGAATTTGAGTTGAGGCTTGTAGGTAATTACGCTAGGTTTAAATGACACAAAAAATAAAACATCTTTAAATTTGTTCTTATTTGTGGGATATGGCGTCAAAATAAAACTCAGGTTTATTATTTAGTGATATAGCCATATTATTAGGTCATTTTCTCGGTCTTAGGTAATTTTTCGGATGTTGAGGAACCATATAGATCTACTAAAGTACCGGGTGGCCAACTAAGAATGGACGCCGGCTGTATCTCAGAAACAACCCATCGTATATCTTTAGGAAAACAATTCTAATAAGCAAATCGACCAAGGGAAATCGCTGGAAGCTGTGCTGGAAGTTATTTTCAAGTTCGAAAATTGTCCGATAGGTGGCGTATCTGTGATGGACAATCAGAAAACAGGATTTTTCTCAAAAATATGCAGGTGAAGAGGTATTTTAAATATTACTATTGCAATTGTAATCATCGAGAATATATAAAAAAAACAATCAAATCAGAGTTATCCTTATTTTAACAAAAGCAAGTTTAACTTCCCCCACCAGTTTATAGAGCAAAATAGACCAAAAATAGCACCAGATAGAGTAAAATACTCTATATAAAAAAAAACGAATTTCTCGAAGATTACAATAGTAATATATTTAAAATATCTGTTCACCTGCATATTTTTGAGAAAAACCCTGTTTTCTGATTGGCTATCAGAGAAGCGCCTACAGAGAAGCCTATAGCGGACATTTTTCGAAATTGAAAATCATTTTCAGCGATTTCTCTTGGTCGATTTACTTATTAGAATTCTTTTCCCAAAGTTATACGATAAGTAGTTTTTGATTTAGGTTAGTTGGCCACCCGGTACATGATATTGAAACAATACCTGTGCAAAAAAAGTCGAAAAATGGATAAGCAAGGTGTTATTTATACAGGGTATACCGAAGGTACCATTTAAAAATCAAGTTCGTAGTAGGTTTTGTTAAGTGTCATATTTTTTTAATTCCGTCCGTCCCAATATTCCGTAGACATAAATAAATAAAGCTTTATTGCGCAAAAAGCCAAAATATACAGCGTCATCGACAAAGCAATTTCAAAACAAACAAAGACACAAAAATATAATACAAATAATAAAAAATATCATACAATACAAATCATACAATTCAAAAAAAATACGCCATTAAAATGACAAATACAACATATATGGACATTGCAGAACACAAAAAAGGCGTATCAATAAAATTTTACAATAGGATAATTATTGTAAATGGATATAATCATTTAAGAGTTATAAAATATTAAATACTAGACTTTTAACCAGTGTGTGAGATGATCAAAATTGATGATTAAAATTCAAAATTGTTCATGATTGAACATCAACAAAAAAGTCGTTTACCGTAATTAGGGCTCTCTCCAGTAAGTATGATTTCAGAGCTTTGCGTTTTTTATTTTTTTTATTTGGGGTATTAAAATACCCCACGCGAGCACTTACATAGCAAAACGAGACGCGAGAAAAAGAAAGTTAAAAACATGTTTTTAAAACACCAATACAAAATATCTTTATTATTGAGTACTAGACATACTATTTGATATAAGAAACTTTTTGATTAGAAATATCGTCTCGCTGAACAAAAACAACTAACAGTAAGCCTTTTATAAACTGAAAAGTTTACTTTGAAAAGTCGGCAGGACAACGGAATTACTGCCGGAAGGTCGTTATTTTCAGATTATTTTTGTAAGAAAACGGCAGGAGAGATAACTAGATAGTTTAGTGTTTTGAAAATCATGCTCTTCTAGTCATCTAATTAAAAACATATTTCTTTATATTCATTAAAATAAGAGGATTTAAAAGAGAATAGACAGTACGCAACTTTATACATTTCTCAGTTTCTATTCACAAAGTTGTTTTTTTCTACGACTAGCCTAGAAAATGCAGTTTGACACACGGAAAACTCGATCTGAAATTAGTGTTTTGCAAACTGTTGTGTTCTAAGGATTTAGCGCACGACATGTGTCATTTTGCACACGACATGTGTCAATTTTAACATATTTACCCTCCAATGTTTAGCTGAAACGCCAAACGCAACGCAGCCGTCAGAAAAGTGTCATCATTACATCGCAAATTATTTCACAAAACTGGCAAAAACTGAGTGAGTCTGCTGCTAATTTGTAGTCGTAGAAAAAATAGCGTAAAAAACTCGTTCGAAAACTTCTTTGTACACTCGTTCGACTTGTGGCTCTTGCCTGCGGCTCGAGCCAACAAACTGTCGAACTCGTGTGCAAAACGTCGTTTTCGAAACTCGTTGTTTAATATACTATTTATAAATCTTGCCATCCGACCCGTTATTCTTTATAATAAAATAGTCAAACTTTATTATACAGGGTGGCGCCCCTCATACGACGCGGAGGCTCCAAGGAGTTTATATCGAAATGAAATTTTGGAAGCGTAATGTAGGTTAATTGAAAGCATTTTATAAAAATATATGGAGTTCTACACGGTCTCCCCCAAAAAAGTTAAGCATCAAAGTGGGCTTTATTTCTAATGGAGCGCTCTATCTATTAATTGATTTTAGGATTCTAGGAAAAAAATAAAGGTGAGTTTTATTAAAGAAGCGTATGCCTAAATTGTAAGGATTTTGCGGTATTTGACATTTTGTGAAAATGAAGAATAAATTTTCAATTTCAATAACATCTACTTAAATCTTTAAAATTTGTCCCGAAAAGTTATAGAGGGTTTTAGAGGGAGATAAAATTTATACTGAACGTTGGCCACTTTTAAAACCAAGTTACTCCTTTATTTTAAATGGAACACCCAGTATATCATACCGGTATTCAATGGAGCATTTATATATATTTAAAATACTATTAAGGTTGTTACTCCTATAAGACAAAGATTTTCCTAGATATTTTGATTCTTATGATTTCTCCTCAGTAGATTTTTATTATTTGATAAAATCTAGATGCCTGTGATATATTTTTTGCTAATTTAACAAAAATTAAAGTACGTAGAGTAAAATATTCAACGATACTAAAAAGATACACATTTAAAATATATTTTAATTATTACAGAATTAAAACTAGACATAAACCTATAATTATGACACAAAAATTATCTAGATGAAATCAAATGCCCAATACGTTTCCTTTCTTGTTCACTGAATGAAATTATTCTCTTTTCAAAAGACCTTTGCATATGTGAAGTTCTACTGTGGTTCTACTTCGAAAAGCAGTCAAAATCATTTCTTTTATGTTGTCGACAACAGTTGGTCGCGTCACTGTCTTTAACCATACCCCAATGAAAAAGGCAAGACTAGATAAATTAAAAACTTTTAAGTATTCTATTAAATGGTGAATGCACACTGCACTCACCAACTAATAGAATCATATCAATTTTGTCTGATGTATGGTAAGTTTCCATTTATTGCAAATTTCTGAGAATTTTTTTTTATTTTAACTGGCATAAATTGATAACTAGTTGTTAATGTTGAACTAATTTCACAGCTATGTTGAAGTAACGTCAGACTTATCACAGCCACCTAGATTTTATCAAATAATAAAGATCTACTGACAGTAAATCATAAAAATGAAAATATCTAGGAAAATCTTTGTTTGAGGTGTAAGCAACCTTAATAGTATTTTGAAGAGACATGAATTATATATATTATATTGAATATCGAAATAATATACATACTAGGTGCTTCATTTAAAACAAAAGAGTAATTTGCTTTTAAAGGTGAGCAATGTTCAATATTAATTTTGTCGCACGCTGTATAACTTTTTTAAGTTTTAATTTGATTTAAAGTACAATCGTTATTTTAACTACATATTGGGCTATACAGAGTAAATTCGAGTTTAGGTAGCTTTTATTGAAATTTAAAATTTGTTCTTCTTAGAAAATGTTAAATATGTCAAAAACATTACATTTTAGTAATATTTTCTAGTTAGTAGTTTGATTGAAACCACACTACCACTAGCGGATGAGTGCAGCGAAGAGGGTGAGGCCTTTTTCCCAACAATCCAAACCAACCGAAGCAGAAGTACATACAGGGTGGCCCATCGAAAACGTTCCGCAAGGCATAACGCCCAGGATATTTTTTTTTTAAATCGAGAAACACGTCAATTTTGTTTGTGAGAGGGACAACTTTTGCCCCAAAAATGATTTTCAAGTTTTTTTAAATGGGAAGGGAGGTCAAGTGGCGCCGCAATGAAAAGAGCTTTCTATTCTCTATATTTCCCCGCTTCGTTTTTGAAAATCGGTCGAGTCATTGAGAAAATATGAAGGATTGAAATTTGAAAAGTTTATTTAAACTGTGGTGACAATGTTGAAAGCGACATTCCTACTCTATCCTTGGTGATACTCGAATATCGAGACACGTCCATAGAGTAATAACAAAAACACGTCTGTCAACGGTCAACGATGTCACACACACACACTCTCTCAACACACTCTCTCAACACACACTCTCCACAACTACGAATAAGTTTACTCAGCCTTCTTTAAACTGTGTATTTGATTAAAGTATTTTAATAAAGTGTGTACTAATAAGTTTACATCATATTAATTGATAACCCAAACCGTTAGTACCACAATTGGTGACCCCGGAATTACCTCGAACACGCAACAATCGATCAATTTCTCGTCATGAACGACGTGAACGAAGCGAACCCAACAAATACACCCGCAGAGCGAGCTCAACACGTGGATCGAGTGGCTATCAAACCACCACCGTTCTGGAAGGCCGATCCGAAACTGTGGTTTGTTCAACTGGAAGCACAATTTGCTCTATCAAGTATTACAACAGACCTAACAAAATACAACCATGTGCTTAGTGTTGTGGACACGAGCATTTTAAGTCAAATATCAGAACTACTCCTAAACCCACCTGCGGACAATAAGTACAACGCTATCAAAGACAGATTAATCTCAATATATTCAGATTCTCAGGAGAAGAAATTAAAAACTCTCTTGTCAGACATGAATCTCGGTGACAAAAAACCTTCGCAGCTATTAAATGAGATGACACGTTTAGGAGGTTCATCAGTTTCATGTGAATTACTGAAAACCCTGTTAATGCAACATTTACCTGCACAGATGCAATCAGTATTAGCCACCAGTAATGACAATCTAGACAATTTGGCGAAAATGGCAGACAAAATCGCAGAGATTGAACAACCCCGCAACTTTACAAAGAAATTCAAGAATTGAAACTACAGCATCCTCGTCGTGAGCAATCTCCACATCGGAAAAGGTCGAAAACACCTCTTCGTCAGCCCCAGGAGGAGGATGGTGAAGTCTGTTGGTACCATCTTCATTTCAAGGACCGTGCAAGATCATGCAGAGCGCCTTGCAAGAAGGGCCCCATCCAGGAAAACGAGACTTCACGACGTTAAGGGCGACGAACGCCGTGAACCCTACCAGTCGCCTTACCAACCCTCCTGCTACAGTCAACTCTACCTTCTCTAACAACCATCGGTTAGTTATTAAGGACCCTAAAACAGGTATATCATTTTTAATAGATTCAGGTTCTGATGTTTCCATTTTACCTAAAATGACACGTAATTATGATCAACATAATAAAACTTGTTTATATGCCGCTAATAACACCCTGATTCCCACGTTTGGTACAAAGTGTGTTACTGTCAGCTTGGGTTTAAAACGGAACTTCACCTGGCATTTCGTAATAGCTCAAACTGATACTGCCATTTTAGGAGCAGATTTTCTACATCATTTTCGACTATTAATAGACCTTCATGGGAAGAAAATTATTGATACTAGCACTAACTTATCTTATCCTGGTAAACTTAAACTTTCCTCATCTGACTCTGTATCAACAATTGACAAAAATTGTAAATATTTTAAGCTACTCGAAGAATATTCCGCCATTACAAAACTTTCGAAAACAGACTCTTATATTCCTCACCAAACTACACACATCATCCCTACAGATGGTCCACCAGTAGTGTCCAAAGCTCGTCGTCTCCCTGCTGATAAGCTTACCATTGCCAAACAAGAATTCCAAACTCTCTTAGACCAGGGAATTTGCCGTCCTTCAAACAGTAGCTGGGCAAGTCCACTGCACTTGTTAAGAAAAAATCAGGTTCCTGGCGACCTGTTGGCGATTACCGTCGCTTAAATGCCATTACACGACCTGATAATTACCCTGTGCCTAACCTACAAGATTTCAATCACATTTTACATGGTAAAACAATTTTTAGCACCCTAGACCTTGTTAGAGCATATCATCAAATACCTGTCGATCCCGAATCTATTCCGAAAACAGCCATAATCACACCCTTTGGTTTGTTCGAATTTACTCGTATGCAATTTGGTCTACGCAACGCAGCTCAATCCTTTCAACGTTTCATTCACGAAGTCTTACGCAATCTAGACTTCTGTTTTTCCTATATTGACGACATCCTTATAGCATCCTCTAGTCCAGAGCAGCATGAAGTTCATCTTCGACAAATTTTTCAACGCCTACAACAATATGGTCTCACGATCAATCTCGAAAAATGTGTCTTTGGCGAGAGTTGCATAAAATTTTTAGGTTACGAAATATCTTCGAATGGTACTAGACCACTTCCAGATCGAGTAACAACCATTTTAGACTACCCTCTACCTAAATTCGCTTGTGATTTGAGACGATATCTTGGAATGTTGAACTTCTACCGCCGTTTTACCCCTCATGCAGCTGATCATCAAACTATCCTTCACCAGATGCACAAGAATTGCAAAAAGTCTGATAAAACGCCATTATCATGGACTTCTGAAGCTTTATCTGCATTCGAAAAATCTAAAAATGATTTAGCCAATGCAGCCTTGCTTGTTCATCCTCATTCTTCTTTCCCACTCTCTCTTACAGTGGACGCATCTAACAGCGCTCTAGGAGCTGTTGTTGAACAATACGAAAACGGAATTTGGAAACCCCTTAGTTTTTTTTCACGTAAATTCACCCCTAGCGAAACGAAATACAGCACATACGACCGTGAACTTCTTGGAATTTATTCGGCTGTAAAATATTTCAAATATTTGTTAGAAGGCCGTAATTTCCAAATTATCACCGACCACAAACCACTCACATACGCTTTTCGACAAAAATCTGACAAAGCTTCACCACGCCAAACACGTCATCTTGATTATATTTCACAGTTTTCCACTGATATAATCCACATCAGTGGTAAAAATAATATTGTCGCAGATGCTCTTTCACGGATTAATTCTATTAATTCTCCAGATGTAATCGATTACGATGAATTTCAGAGACATCAAAAAGATGATCCTGAACTTCAACAAATTCTTCAAAACCCCAACTCAACTTCCCTATCGCTTAAAGAGTGTACCTTTGCAGACACTTCTACAATGCTCTTTTGTGATTATAGTCAATCACACATTAGGCCATTTGTACCTTTAAGCTTCAGACAGCTTATTTTCAAAAAATTCCATAACCTTTCTCATCCAGGCATACGAGCTACTAATAAATTGATATCTTCACGCTTCGTTTGGCCTTCGATGAATAAAGACATCAAAGTATGGACACGAGCGTGTATAACATGCCAACAGTCCAAAATACATAGACATACCCTTACACCATATCAACAATTTCAAATACCCGAAGAACGATTTCAGATTGTAAATATCGACATTATTGGTCCCTTACCCTCTTCTAATGGTTATTCTTATTGCCTTACTTGTATTGACCGATTTTCTTGTTGGACCGAAGCAATCCCTTTGAGCAATATAACTGCTGAAACTATCGCATCCGCCTTTTATTCTGGTTGGATATGCCGTTTTGGAACTCCACTGCAAATTGTTACTGACCAAGGTCGTCAATTCGAAAGTTCTCTATTTCAAAGTCTCAGCATATTAATGGGATGTAAGCGAGTTCGATCTTCACCATACAATCCCAAATGTAATGGAAAGGTTGAACGATGGCATCGAACTTTAAAAGCCGCTATAATGGCGCATTCTTCTCCACAATGGACAGAAGTTTTACTTACGGTACTGTTAGGATTACGTGCTACTCTTCGCTCAGACGTGGAAGTTTCCCCTGCTGAACTAGTTTACGGTTCTTCCATACGTTTACCAGGCGAATTTTTTCAAACTTCTAACACTCATACCGATCCTTCGACATTCCTTACACTATTAAAAAACAAAATGGAAATGTTAAGACCTGTACCTGATAGTAACCACTCTAGTTCAAAACCTTTTATATCACCCGAATTGGAGAAATGTACTCATGTATTTTTACGAAGAGATTCTGTAAGAAAACCTCTACAACCTCCTTATGATGGACCTTATCGTGTAATATCTCGACATGAGAAATATTTCAACATTGCAATCAATGGTAAAAACGTTAACATTTCTAAAGATAGACTCAAACCTGCATATTTACTTGCACCTGACAATATTTCTCATGATCACTCTTACTGTAAAGAACTGTCTTCGGTTACAGAAACTAGCAAATGTATAACATTCGGAAAAAACAAGTTCGTTTTTATTTATAGAATAATCTTTGTATTAGTATTACACTAGTTTAAGTTAAATACATACATTTACATTTACATACAAATGTTTAGTGATAACGAATACCCTTTTATTGTATTAATGTATTATTATGTTTTGTAATATCCTATAGTATTTTCTACCAACTCCGTTTTTTAGGGGGGAGTATTGTGGTGACAATGTTGAAAGCGACATTCCTACTCTATCCTTGGTGATACTCGAATATCGAGACACGTCCATAGAGTAATAACAAAAACACGTCTGTCAACGGTCAACGATGTCACACACACACACTCTCTCAACACACTCTCTCCACACACACTCTCCACAACTACGAATAAGTTTACTCAGCCTTCTTTAAACTGTGTATTTGATTAAAGTATTTTAATAAAGTGTGTACTAATAAGTTTACATCATATTAATTGATAACCCAAACCGTTAGTACCACAAAACATTTATCAGAGTAAACAATAAGGATAAATTCCTTCGACCAAATTGCTGTTTTTTCTTATTATTTCTAGATGTTTATGCATTTTTTCACTTGCCACAAGGTAGAACGATCGGGTGCGGTCTCAATATCGTTAAACTGACCTACAATAGAATTTCCAAAAATACCAGCCCGCGACGATCAAAATCGTTTTCGTTGAGTTCTTGTACCAACTGAATTTTGTACGGGTAGAACTTGTGTTTTTTGAATATCTTTGGAAACTTGTACGATTCACGCCGGTCTTATTGGCTAATTTTCTTGTACTCTGCGTACTATCCATGGCAACTTGGCCCAATACGAATACCTCCATAGCTTCATTTACTACAGGATTTTTCATCTGCCTCTTTTTATTCATAACGGAACCAGTTTCGCGAAATTTTGCTACTAACTCCCGAACAATTTTGCCATAAAGGTGTTTGTCAGGATGGCGTTCATTGAATATCTGCGCAACCCGATTGCCACATTCATTATTTTTAAAATAAAGTTCGATTATTTCTACTTTTTCTGCAAGTGAGTACACCATAATTGTTAAAAAGTTTAGCGATATTGAGAAGAACTTCAACGCACAAGTCACAGAACAGCTATCTAGCAACTACCGCACCTGATAGTTCAACCTTGTGGCAAGTGAAAAATGCGTTAACATCTCGAAATAATAAGAAAAAACAGCAAATTGGTCAAAGGAATGTATCCTTATCATTTACTCTGATAAATGTTTAAATACACTTTTCAAATTTCAATTCTTCATATTTTCTCAACGACTCGACCGATTTTCTAAAACGAAGCGGGGAAATATAGAGAATAGAAAGCTCTCTTCATTGCGGCGCCACTTAACCCCCCTTCCCATTTGAAAAAAGTTGGGGGATGACACCCCCGTTTAGAGGGTTGAAGATTTTGCAATCATTTTTGGGCCAAAAGTTGTCCCTCTCACAAACAAAATTGACGTGTTTTTCGATTTTCTGAAAAAAATTACCCTGGCCGTTATGTTTTGCTGAACGTTTTCAATGGGCCTCTCTGTATAAGTATTCCAGTTATTTATTATCTAATATCATATTATATTATTGAGACTGTCATAACCAACTGTATTGATTGTTAAATTTCTTAGTAGAATAGAAGTCATGAATTAAACATTTTATCTTGTTCTATTTTATTCCAAAACATACTTCCACAAACCATCAATATAAAGAATTTTGTGGGTTTGGTTTGGTTGTCTCTAATGAAACTCACCTTTACTTTTCTCCTAGAATCCGAAAATCAATTAATATGTGGGGTGTTCCATTACAAGAACCTAACCTAACCTAACACAACTTTCATATGTAACTTTTTTGGGGGATACCATGTAAAACTGTCTATATGCTTAAAAAATGCTCCAAATTAACCTACATATCCTCACAAAATTTCATTTCAATACCAACTGTTGTTCTTCTTGGAGGCTCCACGTCGTATGAGAGGCGCCACCCTGTGTATGTAATAGTTAAGCTTTATTTTAGCTTTGTTCTTTTATTTAAAGCACTAAATCTAATTTCTAGATATGTATCATCCCCTGTGATACTAAAAATGATTTTAAATATAAATAATCTACAGACTGAGGAGTTATTAAAATTGGTTTTCTTTCAACATCGAAATTCATTCTTGGCGAACAATAGAATATTTAAAGAAATTCTTACTGTTAATTGCCATACGATGCCAGTTATTGTTTAAATTATAATTCTTGTGAAATATTATTATTATTAATCCCCGGACCTTCCTCGTCTAACAGCAAATGTTCTTCCTCCGAGGGTATACAGATCAGGAGCGCCGACTTTTATGAAACCTCATGGGTGCTCATCAAATATGAGTAAATGTACCAAATTTCCAGATTGTTACATTTGTCGTATTTATTACACTTTTTTACATATGTAACATACATAACAATATTAGAAAAATACCATATCAATTTGTCAATTTTACAGTTTTATTGAGTATAATTTGAGTTATGCAGAAATATTTTTTTTTAGTACAGATACCAGTTTGTGAAAATATTAATTCTATCCATTGCAATCGTGTAAGGGCAGGCATAAAAACAACAGACAGATACTGTAACTGTATTTTATAAAGAGATACAAAATAAACGAAACTAAAAGTTGCTGAGAAGAGCTGCTAGTGGA